GATCCATGGGATGGGATGGATGCTGGGGCTGCATCCCAGGGAACACTGGGAGCACGGGGCTGGGCCCTTCCCTCATGGCAGGGTCAGGATCTCCAGCTGCACTTTCAGTGTCAGGACAGCCCTGGGGGCTGTGTGTGCTCCAAACCCTCCAGAGCAGGAGGAATTTCCGGCACACTCTGGGTTCTGCTCCTGTTTCCTAATTGCTCATAATTGTCCGTCAGCCACGGACGTGTCCTGAATCCTCCCCACGAGTTCCTGCAAGCTCCTTGCCAGGGTTTTCTCCAGAAAAGCTCCCCAGAACTCAAAGTCACGACAGCCCCAAGCAGGGGGGTCCAGACCAAGCCCAGAGCAAACCCCACTCTGCCTTTTGTCCTCTCAGCCCCACAGGAACACATGTCCAAATTAAGGAAAAAGGAAAAAATGAGAACATAGCCACTGAAGGGCATTCAAAAAATAAAATTCCAGGCCTCCAGCTCCAACTGGATCTTTGCCCATCCTGGAATTCGGATTTGATGGCATTTATGGTTTTCATTCTGTTAAGGGATGAGAAATTCAACATTTATTGATTGCCTATATTCTTTAAAGACAACATTTTTCATATTCCTCTTGGGATGAGTTGGGGGGCCCAAGGCTTACCTGACCTTTTGAAATCTTTTCTGCAGGAGCTTTCAGGCCCTTTTTTACTGGAATGAGCACCTCTGGCCCCAATCCTGCACAGAGAAAGGCCTGGGCTGCCCAGCAGTGAGGGAATCACTGAAATACTGGGAATTGAGGTGGTGGGCAGGGATTTTTCTTGTTGAGATTTTTGCACATTTAGATGGTAAATCACTGAGAATGCAACTCTGGAAGGAGGGATTGAAACCAAGCTGTCCCCTCCAAACTCCACATCACTGTGGATTTATGAAAATGAAACCTCAGACCTGAGTGTCCCATGGGGACCTTGCCATAAAAGACAGAAATTGCTGCTTTTTGGTTAAGCCACCAATAAATGCAGGGTTTGTTAAAGGAATCCCTCCTGTTGTGTGGAAACAGGGAAATGGGAGCAGAGGAACCTCCCCTGTGTCCAAGGCTGGGCAGGAGCTCAGGGCAGGGAACTCCTGTCCTGTCCTGGCCAGGCAGTGCCCTGGGCTGCTCTGCTGCTCCTCTCCCAAAACATCACTTCTGACCCAAAATGGGCACATTTGAAAGGAAAAGGAGCCCTGGGGATGCTCTGGGCTGGGTGTGAAGGGTTTGTCTCCCAAAACATCACTTCTGACGCCAAAATGGGCACGTTTGAATGGAAAAGGAGACCTGGGGACACTCTGGGCTGGGTGTGAAGGGTTTCTCTCCCAAAACATTGGTCCTGACCCCAAAATGGGCACGTTTGAAAGGAAAAGGAGCCCTGGGGATGCTCCGGGCTGGGTGTGAAGGGTTTCTCTCCCAAAACATCACTTCTGACGCCAAAATGGACACATTTGAAAGGAAAAAGAATCCTGGGGATGCTCCGGGCTGGGTGTGAAGGGTTTCTCTCCCAAAACATTGGTCCTGACCACAAACTGGGCACGTTTGAATGGAAAAGGAATCCTGGGGATGCTCTGGGCTGGGTGTGAAGGGTTTCCAGCAGAACACAGATTTCCCAGAGCAGCTGAAGGGCTCAGTGCACGGCCACAAGCAGCTCAACTCAAACCACAGCTCAGCAGCAGCTCCACAACGCCCCAAAAAATAAGAATTAAGCCCTCCTGGGATGAATGCTTTGGCAAACACCCAGCCAGGATTATTCTTCCCTGGGAACTGCATTCAGCTGTGAGTCCCCACGGCAATAGCAGGGCCAGCCCTGAGTCAGCCCTGGCTGCTGGGGCTGGAACAGTTAATTAATTGCATTAGGCTGGGCTCTGTGCAGGCAGGCAGGACCATCCCTGCCCCATCAGCAGCGGGACACGCAGCCCTGCCCTGCCCTGGGCACCTCCTTCCCCAGCACCTGCAGGGCATTGCATCACCAGGCTGCCTATAAAGGTGCCATGGCCACCGACAGCCCTGGCACTCTGCAGGCTCGGGGACAGCCATGAAGGTCACCCTGGTGCTCCTGGCAGTGGCAGCTCTGTGCCTGGCATGTGAGTAACCCCTGGGCTCCTCAGCTGGTTCCTGCACTGGGAGGCAGGGAGGGAGAAAATGGGATTTTCTGGCTAAAATCCTGTTATTTAGCACCATAATAGTTTATAACCCGGCTGGGGCTGGGGTGGATGGAAGCTGCTCCTTGCTGGGTATAGCCCAGAGATCTGTTCTGTGGCTCAAAAGAGCTGTGATTCCTCAGAACCACCTGTTTTTATCTGTTCATTTTAAAATTTCCATCTGAGAAGGGAGCTTGGAGCTGGTGAGGTCCTGCCCTGCCAAACTGACCAAGTAGGGGACAGCTGATGATGCTCAGGCCACATAAAACAGCTGGGAATCGTGGTTTTTTAATCTTATTTTTCCAGGCTGCAGGGAGATTTGAGGGAGAGTTTGCTCTAAAAAAAAAGAGGGATCTGGGAGGAATTTATTCAGCCTTTACCTGGCAATTTTATTTTCACTAAAAACTTGCAGTAAAAATGTGTTTTTAGAGAAAAATAAGTGCATTTAAAGAGATTGAAAGACTCCACACCTCTGCAGGTAGTATAGAAGTTTAAATGCATTATGAACATTAAAGATGCAAAATAATGCAGCATTATAAAACAAAAAGAATCTTTTGAGTAGCTCTGAAGAAGCTGCTTTGAAATTTTTCTCAACCCCAAAATTTTTATTAGAAACAGAAGTTTAAATGAAACACGGTGGAAATAATTCATTGTGTTTCATTAGCTGCAGGGAAATAAAGAAACGTTCCTTCCATTAGAATTCCAGGAAATTTCTTCCTTGAACTTTCTGGTTTATCTTGTCTGCTTGAAAACTTCATGCATCAGCACTTTCTGAGCCACACCTTTATTGCATTCACTCTGTTCGCAGAGCAGCTCCCAAAAGTTCACCAGAGAAAAAATCAGATGTGAAGGGTTGGGGGAAGTGGAATGAATTGAATCCAATTCCAGAACAATGAAATCTCAGTCAGCCTCTGGTGACAGAGATAGAAACCTGACATGGAGCTTTATTTCTGCTCATTTTCTTTATGCTGAACAACTGTATTTGATGTGAGGGTGTAAGCAGGTTTATGAAAGGAAGTTTTTGTGGAAAGTTTAACCTTTGAAGATCAAAAAAAGCCAAATTTATTCCAAAAGACAATTGTTAGAGCTCTGCTCCAGAACACATTTGAGAAGTTTAACCTTTAAAGATTAAAAAAATCCAAATTTAACCCAAAAAAACAAGTGCTAGAGCTCTGCTGCAGAACACACTCCTGCTCGTTCTGCACAGAAATCTCTCGCTGGCACTGTCACACCTGGAAGGCGCAGGATGTGATTGTGGGACAGCAGAGGGGCAAACACATTCCTAAGGAAAGCAAGGAATGTGTCAGCGGCGTGGAGCCGCGCCAGGGAGCTGATTGCTTTGTGGGAGGTGTAATTAGCATTGTTTGCAAGGAGCTCCTTGAAGCCCCACCTGAGGACAGGGCTCTGCTCCAGAGCAATGAGGTAAAAATAGGAACCAGTCATCTTAAAATCCACATTGAAACAAGGGAAACGCTTCCCACATGGGATTATGAGCCAAATTGTATTATCACTGTTATTTACAGTCAATATTGTATTTAATTCTCATTATTGACAGGAAACACAGATATAGAAGGGATTTGTGGTTTGCTCACAGCCACATGCAGCTCTTGGTAAACTCAGGATTAAACCCCAGTCATGCTCAACCACCAGTTAATCCTGGACATTAAATATAAAATAACTTGATGAACAGTAAATGTAATATTGACTGCTGGGCTGCCAGAGGTTTTGTGGTGAACAATGGCTCCATTCCCTCCTCCAGCAAAGGCTGTTTCAGCAGGTGACAGAAGTGTCTAAGGTAAATAATGCACCAAAACCCACTTGGTCAATAGGGTCTGACACCTGGGCCTCACCAAACACTGCACAGCTCAAAATATTGACCTTGAAGGAGGTAAAAGATTCAGTGCTGCTGAGTGAAATCATCCTGGTTTGCACCCGAGTGTTCATTAACTGTGCCTTTCTATTTTCTCTTTTGTGGTTCAGTTTCCACTGCAGATGCTGCTACACAGGATGAGGTGAGTGATTGCCTTTTTCCTAAATAAAAATATAGACTATGAGATAAAAAATTATAATATAATAATAAAGTCAGAAAATAAGCATGGTAAACTTTAATTAAATGCTGCCAATTTATTGAGGTTTCAGTGAAAGTTCCTGAGCTTGGGATATAGGTTTTCCATAGAGTTGTTCTGACAACTTCTAGATGTTTTTTACCTGTTTGGCATTCTGGGCAAAAAAAAAAAAAATGGGCACGGACAAATTTTAACCCAGAGAAATCTAAAATTTAAAAATAAAATTAAAATATTTTCTAAAATATATGTTTATTTGGTGATGACACTATCAGGCTTTTCTGATGAGTTTTAGCTCCTAAATCAGGTACCTGGAGATTTTCACTCTCTGAGTACTCTGGGGTCAATGTCTGGAAGAAGGGAGGGGGTGGATTCCATCCCTGAAGGGTCCAAGGAAGGGCTGGATGTGAATTGATCCCACCTGGATTTACTGATTGTTGTGATCAGATAATAAAAATCTCCACACTCTGCTCCTCTGGGGCTGTGTTGTTCCTGCCCATCCCTGTCACGTCAGCCCCACTCTCACCTCTGAGCAGAAATGTTTCATTTTTGGGGCTTAGCCTCTGCCCAGAGAGGTGGTGCCCCCTCCCTGGCTGTGCTGCCCCAAAATTGGATATATTCATGATTTCTGTACGTGGAGGGTGTGTCACAGTAAAGCAGACAGGGCTCAGTTGCTTCATGCAGAAAATGTAAATTTCTATTTAGTTATCTCATATTTATAGGAATTCAAAAGGCACTGTGTTAAACCCAACTGGATAACAATACACTGTCAGTTCATTGGTCAGTAAATGGAATTTTGTGCATCCACCAAACCTCTTTATTCTTGGATTGTTTACACATCATCTTCACTGATTCCCATTGCACCAATTTCTTGGTTTTGCAGGTGCAAACTTATTTTTCTCACCAGAATAAACTGTTGTGCTGACTTTTCATTCTTACGATTTTTCTCACGGGAACAAGCAGATGGATGAGCTGCCCCCAGCCCCAGCAGCAGGCCTAAGCCACGATGTTATAAATCCTTTATTTTGTGAGTTTTCCCCTGTGTGGTCAGGGGTGTGACACTCAGGGCTGCCCTCGTTGCAGGTGGACTGCAGTGAGTACAAGAGGCTGGAGAGAGGGAGGCCCATTTACTGTGAGAGGCTCTACCAACCCTACTGTGGCTCTGATGGCAAAACCTACAACAACAAATGCTCCTTCTGCAAGGCTGTGCTGTGAGTACTGGGCTGCCCTGGGCTGAGCAGCTGGGATCCCACCCCATCAAAATGCTGGGTTTCTTTAGGGTTGGCACTCCTCTGCTTTACCTTTACACCATCATTGTCCCTCCCACTGATAATGTCCAGCTGATCTAAAAAAAAAAAAAAATTATGGTGATTTTTGTGTGAGAACTTCCTATTCTGGTAGGAAGTGGAAAATAGGCAACTAAAAAATGACCCAGATATTCAGGTCTGAGCTTCCTATTCCAGCAGGAATGGTGAAGCTGGACACTAAAAACCTACTTGGATATTTGTGTGTACAACTTCCTATTCTGGCAGGAATTGTGCAACTCGACACTACAAAACTACTTGGACATTTGTGTGAGCAATGTCCTGTTCTGGCAGGAAATGTAAAATAGTGAACCAAAAAATGACCCAAATACTTGTGTGAGCAACTTGCAGCAGGCACTGTAAAGCTGAACACTGAAAAATGATTCCTGTTTGTGTGAGGAACTTGCTGCAGGTGCTGTAAGATTCAGTCACTAAAAAATACCCTGACATTTGTGTGAGCAGCTTCCTATTCCAGAAGAAACTGGAAAGCTGGACTGGAAAGAGTCCAATGAGCAGCAGAGACCTGACAAAGCACCTGCACCCAACGCAGGTCACACAAAAATTCAGAAGTGGCGCTGGCAATGTCTTGGGTTTATGGATGAAATGTGTGATTTTACAAGGAAAGCTGTTTACAGACGAGTGCCCTGGTGTGTGCTGTGAATGTTTTGGTGTCTCCCCTGGCAGCAGAGGGCTGCAGAGGCTCTTGGTGCAGTGTTCTGTGTGCAATGCCGTGTTTTGCCTTGCAGGAGGAGCAGAGGGGCCCTGCACATGAAGCAGGCAGGGGCGTGCTGAGGGAGCTGTGCTGAGGGCAGCTCCCCTCTGCCTTTGCTGCCTTTCCCCACCTGCCCTGCCCAGCCCAGCCCGGGGAGAAGAGCCAGCTCTGCTGTCCTGCTCCAGAGCTGGGGCCGACCCTCCTGTCCTGGCAGCACGGCTGCTCCTGTGCCTTCACCAGCCCTTCCCTGGATGTGTCTCCATGGCTGGAGTTCAAATCCCCTGACAATGCCCTCAGTCCCCCCACCTCCTTTATCAAATGTTTTCTTTCCTTTACCCAGAAACTTTAGCAGATTTTTTTTTCCCTAAAAGTTTTCAGCTTTCCCAGGCACTGCTCTGACTCTCTCCCAGTTTTGTAGCTGAATTTTGAATGCTTAATTTTCATCCCTCTCTGTACAATTCTGGTTCCTGTATGTTGTTCAGCTACTCAGTGTGCTTGTTTATTAAAATAAATATTCACTCTATTTTTTTTGTCCATGGTGAACTTTCTAGAGAATTTATTGCATCCATGACTAACAAGTATTTCCCAAATTACAGAAAACTGCAGCGGAGCAAGGGCTGAGTCCAGAGGTAAAAATCCAAAGCTGGGATACAAAAGTTGTATATATGGGAATTTACCCCTCAGTCTGGCTCTATTTTGCTTTAAATGAGACCAATCTGGTAAAATGTAAGACTGGACCAGTCTGTTAAATCCTGTTATTTAAATGGGAACATTCTTTAATCTTTTCACTTGACAAATTTCAGAACCTAAAGAAATTTATGTCCTGCTCTTAAATCCTGATTATCTTCACTGTTAAAGTAATTTATGTCTTTTACTCAATACTTGGTCATGGGAATGTATTTTTCGAGAATTAAAATTGTGAATGACTGACCTTATTGGGGGAAAACTTTGGAGCAGTTGGACACAGAACAAATCCAGCCCTATCCTGAATTCTGTTTATCTGGAAACCAGGTCCCAGCAATTAGGCAGCAGGCATGAAAATGAAGAAGGTAATAGAAAAGCTCCTCATAGTTCAGAGGCTTCTATAAAGAAGTTCCTAGAACAGATCACTTTGACTGAAAAAGACAAAAATGAGAAAACAAAGGGAATCTCTGAGGTTTCCTCATGGTGTCAGAAAAAGCTGATTTGTGGATATTTGCTGCCCTCCAGCCTCATGGATATTCCCAGCCTCTGCTTTGGTTTGTTGGGATATTTAATGGGCTGTGCTTGTGCACCAAACCCAAGGCACCAAAACTCTCCTGCAGCCCCAGGAGTGATGCGAGGAGCTGCAAGTCAGAGGTGTAAAGCACCCCTGCATTTCCCTGGCCCTGCAGTCTGTCCATGTCTGATCATTCCTGATGTGGAATCCTGGGCAGGAGCAGCAGGAGAGCAGGACCTGCCCACCCAGGGGCTTTTGCCCACCCAGGGGCTTTTGCCCACCCAGGGGCTTTCCCTCAGCCCAAAGCTGGCAGAGCCAGAGGCACAGCAGCTCCTGCCACATACCAGAGCACAGAACATCACCTGCAAATTGCTGCGAGTTACACCTGGGGAAAATGCTGGAGAGGCTGGCCAGGCTGGCCAGTCGGGTCTGCGGGATGGAGCAGAGCCATGGAAATGTGGGCAAGGGAAATGAGCAGAGCCTGAGCGAGCTGAGCTCGGGTTCTGTGAGACAGAAAATAAAATACTGGTGTGGAACAGGAAACAGAACGGATCCTGCACTCAGGGAAGATCAGAGTGCAAAACTGTGCCCTGGAAAGGTTCCTAAATACCTGCAGTCTTTATAGCTGATGTATTTACAGCTGAGGGACAAGGGAGGCTTTTCCTGAGGTCCTACAAAACATTTATTTTGTTCTAGGACAAGAGGTGATGAAATCTGGAGATCAGACAGTGGGATCCCTGCAAAAGCACAGCCAGTGCCCAAATAAAGCTGGCTGGGTTAGCACAGCACCATTCTCACCTGAGGCCTTTGGCTGCTCAGATCTTCCCTTAGAAGCTTTAATTTTGAATTGTGAGGTTCTGCTCCCTGCAGAATTAATTGTTGTGTAATGAACGTCTCCTTTGGTGATCAGGAGTGCCCAAGGATGGAGCTGTGGGACAGTGGGAGGGTCCCTGCCCATGGCAGGGGTGGGTGAGATTTCCGAGGTCCCTCCCAGCCCAAACCATTCCATGATTTACCATCAGCTGGGATGGAGAACATTCATTCCCTCAGAAGGCAACAGCTTAAAAACATCTCCTAGGGATGCTGCTAAGCACTGACAGTTTGTGGGGTGCAAAACTTGGGTTTTTAAAGGAAGGCATTAATCCCTCAGTCCTTTTATTTTGATTCAGTAATACCTGTGCTGAGAACCAGGATTCTGAAACCTCCCTAAAGTACAAACTGTGTATGTCCAAATAGCTTCCACCAGCAGTAAGTGAGAAACAAGAAATGCAATGTGCTCTTTTGTTTTGCAGCTGATCAAGGCCAGAACAGAATTTTTATTGATGACTGTTCAGCATCTCTGATTGTTCTCCTTTGGGGTTCAGGTCAGATATCCTTGGGTGCCTCAAATTCTAAATGTTCCCACATATGGCAGTGCAGGGAGAAAGAAATGGAGCAACCCAAAACCCTTCAGAGACTCACAAACCACTGATCTGTGGGATAAATCACAGGGTTTCTGTTAGGAAAAAATGGGTGGTTTTGGTTTCTGCTGTCTTGTAACCACTTCACCATTCACATTCTGTGACTGTTTCAATGACAGCTCAACCCAAGGCCCTGCCCAAATTCCTTAATTCAATTTAGTGTCTCTTGTGTCCTTCAGGCAGCCTCCTCCTGCTGCCACCTGTGTCCCCTGCCTTGGGCTGAGGGAGGGCAGGACAAGCTCTGCTGGACCTGGCTCTGCTCTTCCCACAGGAACCCTCACCTGTCCCATTTTTTGGGGCTGATTTTTCGGATGTTCTGCTGTTTCTGAGGCTGTGTTGCTGTCACAGGTTGGACTCAGTGACCTCTGGGGCCTTTTCCAACCTTAGTGATGCTGTTGACACATCCAAAATCCACAGGGATTGCCAAGAATTTATTTTGTTATTCCTACTCTGCTACAGAGCGTTGTGGATTCCTCTGGGATTGTCACTGAACAGCAGCTGAGTCTTTGCACGCTGTCATTCACAAAAAATAACTCACCAGCAGTGTGCTGGCTGATGAACCAGCCTTGTCACCCAATCCCTCGGGGCTTGCATGAAACATGACTTCAAAACGTTGAGGGAATTGTGATTTCTGCTGGGATCCACCCAAACACAGCCATTAAAACAAGGTTAACTTGCAGACCTGCACAATGCTGCAAATACACATGCGGGGCCAGGGTGAAGACTCTCCAGGGAAATCACTTACAAACCTTGCAGAGCCTCCAAAGGAGGGGCACGGGGATGGGGAAGGGTCTGGAGAGGCCATGGAGGAGCAGCTGAGGGCACTGGGATTGTGCAGCTGGAGGAGGCTGAGGGGAGACTCCTTGGGGTCTGCAGCTCCAATCTCTGGGATGGGGACAGGATCCAGGGAAGGGCTGGGGCTGTGCCAGGGGAGGGTTGGGGTGGATTTTGGGAAAGATTCTTCCCCCAGAGGGTGCTGGCACTGCCCAGGCTCCCCAGGGATGGGCACAGCCTGAGGCTGCCAGAGCTCCAGGGATGCCCAGAGTGGGGTTTTGGGTGCTGGGCTGGATGCTCACTTTGCCGTGCAATGGTTTGGGCTGGAAGGACCTTGGCGCTCATCTCATCCCGCCCTGCCAGGGGCACCTCCCGCAGCCGCTCCGAGCTCCATCCGCTGTGTCCCTCAGCTCGGCACAGCCGGGGCTGCAACCGCGCCAGCACCTCCACTGACTCCCATGGCTGTCGCTCTGTGCTGAGCGAGCCCAGCCCCGATCGGAGCTCTCAGAGCCCCCGGTGCCCTCAGGACCCCTGATGCCCTCAGCGCTGCCCGGGCGGTGCCGCCCCCGCTCCCCCCCCAGCCGGGCGGGGCGGGCCCGGACGCGGCCGGAAGCGGAAGCGGCGCGCAGGAAGCGGCGGCGCTGGCGGAAGGGGCCGCGCAGGAAGCGGGGCCGGGGCTGCCCCGCGGCCACAACCGGGGCGAGGGCGGCGAGCGGAGCCAGGGCAGGTGAGGGCAGCGAGCGCCGGGGGCGGGCAGCGAGCGCCAGGGGACGGGGGCGCGGCCGGCTCGGCCCCGGGGTGGCGGGGCGGGCAGCCAGAGGCCGCCGCCGCCTCCCGGCCCCGCAGGCTCGGGCCGGCCCCGCTGTCACAGGCCCCGGGGGCCCCCGGGAGTGACCGGCGGTGCCGGGGCTATTGGGGAACCTGCTTTTCCTTGGCTCATCTCGGCACAAGCCACCGGGTCCCGGCGTTTTCCCCGCTCCGGGAGCGCCCCTCGCTACCGGCGCTGCCAGGCCGGCCCCGGCTGCTCTCGCCGTGTTTTTCCTCATTTCTCGCTGCTGCGAAGTCTCCCCGTGGTTCTTTAGGCGTTTTAAGGTCCGTGGGGTGTTTATTCATCAAAAGCAGAGCACGTCGAGCTGTTGGTTTTTGCGACGTTTATTGTCGGGAATAAATTGAGGTGGGGGCCGCACAATCCCGTTTAATTTATTGAATATATAAAGCTCTTCCTGCTGTGGAGATTTGTCTTTTATGTTTAAATGAGGTCAGCTCGCTGATGCAGAATGAGGTGTTAAAGCTGTGCTCATTAGCTCAGAACAACCCCAGGAGGAGCTTTAATTGTGCAGAAACTGCAGACTCATGGAGACAATTCCTTCTTCTCCCCCTCCATGGCAGGGGCGGGTTGTGTTGGTGTCATTGGTGTCTTTGTGCAGGATTTTTCCTGTTTTGCCTGTTAATATTTTCGTTTCTCTTGCCTTTTGCCCCAGTGCTTTGCTGTTCTCTTTCCTGCTGGATTGTTCCCAGCACGTGGCTGTGCCAGCCTGGAAGGTTTTGGGTGGTGATGCAATGCTCTGTTCAAACTGAGTTATCCCAGGTGACTGGGAATTGATGTTTTCTTCGGAATTCTGTCTATAAATAGGTAATTTTGGGCTTTACGAGGTTGATCACCCCAAACTGAGCCCTTTCAGTTTGCTCCAAAAAGAACAACAAACACAGGGTCTTCACTCCTGGCTGGAGAATTCCCCCAGTCCAGAGAGCAGAGATCTAGTCAAACAATAAATCCAAGTGGGGATTTATAGTTTGAATATCCCCCTTTAAAATAAAATAATAGAAAGCAGTTAGTAACTTTAAATGCATCCAAAATGTGTGGCACCACGTGTTTTGCAGTAATTAGATCATAGTGGAGCTGTCAGTATTTCAATTTTTGGCATCACAGGGAGGCTGCAACGGCCTTTAGGCCTTGCCCAAAGCTTTTCCAAAATCTGCCTTTTTTACCAGTTGTTTTCCTCAATCCACTGAATTTTGGCACCCAACCTGTTTAACAGGTTCACTGAGCTGGTGATGCTCTGCCCTCCTCATTCCTGTTCTGGTGTTAGAATAAAATAAATCTTTGCCAGGTACAGTCACGAAAGGATCTCTCAGCATGTGTAGAAGGGGATTTTCTGTGAGCAGTGAGTTCATCTGTGTTTAGTTGCTGATTTGTTGCTTCCATGGTAATTGTGGGTGTTTTTACACGAAGCCTTGGAGCCCCAGAGCCTGGGAGTGCTGCAGAGGGGAGGACACAGCTCAGGGAGGGGCAGAGAGAGGATCCTGCACGCTGCTTCCAGTGCCCCCCAGCTTTTCTGTGCCTGTGATCTGTAACTCAGCACCCTGAATATTTTACCTGCTGTTCTCACCTCCAAGAGGAGCTGGTTTGAGGGCTTTAATGGGGCAGTTTTGGAGAGTCATTAGCAGGAGCCCATTTTTTCCAAAAAGAAAAATAAATCCTTTTTCTGCTGGGCAGACTTGAGTTTTATTTTGCACTGAAACATTGTAGTTGGTGCTGAGCTGGTGATCCCTGCACAGCTTTGCTGTGACTGCCTTGATCTCAGGGTGGCATCTCTGAAGGTTTTTTATTCATAAGAAGAGCTGATCTCTGGTTAAACCCGTGCTGACATTTCTTCATCGCTCCCTCGGCTGGGAGGGTTTGTCTGATAATCCTCAGGTTTTGTGTGAGCCCTTGTGTCTGATGAAAGCACAGGTTGCTTTTTGCAGCTTTGTGCTGTTCCCTCTGTGTTCCAGGTGCCTGAATTTCATGACTCTGTGCCCGTTTCCTCGCAGCAGAGATGGGGCCCCGGCGGAAAACCGTGAAAGCAGTGAGCAGGGAAGGGGCAGAGTCTACCAAAGCTGAGGAGCCAAAAGATTACATGAACCAACTCTCCCATGAAGTGCTTTGCCACATCTTTAGGTGAGCAGCCTGGCAGAAATCCGTTCACTTCTCATGTTAGAGTTCTTTATTTTTTCACCTGTTTGTGACACAGTAAACAGTGGCCATACCATGGGTGGAGTGGTGGATAAAAAGGGATGACAAATGTTTTTTTCAGTCTCCAAAATTCATTTGTAAACTGAAAGTTAATTTATGTGAGTGTCATGAATGCTAGAATGAAGAAGAAATAAATAAGTGATTTAATTCTGTTGTAAATACTGATTTTAGAGCAGAAATACACTTGGGTAGGGCACAGTTGAGATGATTGTTTGGGAATTGTTGTATCTGCAGAAGGGATCTGGGATGAGGATTTGACCTCCCCTGCAGCAAAGTCCTTCTCCCAGATGTTCACTCAGCCCTGTTATCCAAAACATAAGGCCTCACCCACAAGTTCTTGGAAAACAGCAGCTCTCCAAAACATTTGGGAATTGAGCTTGCAGTATGTGCTAGAAAAAGAAAGTAACTTAACCAAACCTGTTGATGGAAATGGCTTGGTCAGCAGGGTTTGGGTTGGTTTACATTAACTTTAAGGAAGAAATTATACCCTGTGAAGGGGGACAGGCCCTGGCACAGGGTGCCCAGAGCAACTGTGGCTGCCCAAGGATCCCTGGGAGTGCCCAAGGCCAGGCTGGATGGGCTTTAAGGTCCCTTCCAACCCAACCATTCTGTGCTATACCAGAGAACCAAGTCATCTGTGCATTTAATGCTCCATTTGTGTGACTGTTCCACACTCAGTGTCAGGAATGCTGAGTCACTGCTTAGCAGAACTCCGGATTGAGCTCTGGGCAATTCCCTGTGAGAAATGAAATGCCCCAGTGCTGCAGGCAGGCTGTGCTTGGGCTGACTGGGGCTGTCTGTGTGTCCCCAGGTACCTGTCCCCAGGT